AGTTCCCCAGCTGTGCCTTGCCGTGGTCATCGTTCAACACCTTTCATGATAGACCAACGAACTCACGTCGTGTATCGTCGCCTGTTACTGGGACCTGGACACAGATACCCGCTAGCCCAATGCCCATCAGAGTTAACCAGTAGAATGTCGCTGTTGGGGAATCAGCGTCGGACCGAAGATGGCGGTTTCGACTTTTTTTTACAACATTTAAGCAATGGAGGGCGCGCGTCTCTCTAGAACATTTTTAGTTGATATCCCGATCTTCTTTTGCCAAATTTGACGTTCCGCAGTAAACCGCCGCCTCCTTTCGACGCTGGAAATTGGGTACGAAGCTATGTTATACGATGGATGCACATCTTCCAATGAGGATTTACGCGTCCAAGTCGTGTTCCGACGCGCCCCCGATGCGAGGTGGCTTCTTCCAGATTCATTCGAGGACATGTACTCTATACTCCTGTCATCAGGCGCGCCGCAAGGGACGTCTCCTGTCATATAAAGTGTCAAAAGCCGCGACGAGCCGAGGGGAGTTGATTATTTTCTCTCCCCTCCTTGCCTCCCCCATGCGCCGGCAGACTCTGGCTTTCTTGTTCTTCCTCTTCGGCTGTGCCGGGATGATGTTCTTCTTCCCCTCCAGTGGACCAGTGGCGGAGAGCAGTTGTCCTCTTAAGGCTGGGCTTGGGAACAAGAGCATAGAGTGGAGTTCGCGGAATTATGTGTTGAATGGTTCAGTTTCTGGCAGGTTTAGGGGTGAGTACTAGTGTGTTCCCGGCGTATTGAGTCGTGCTGATGAGTGTAGATAATCTAAGGCCGGATTTGAATTATGTGACTACGTTTTGTGCGGGTGGGATGAGTGAGTTGTTCATGCTGAATGAATTAAAGACGTGCTGATTGTGTACTGTGCAGCGAATGAGCTTATATGTTATGTACGTCGTTTTCGTCCAGCGCAGAGAATCTGATTTGAGTGATGCGTAGATCAACTTGATATATCTGGCCATGCTGTCCAACCGCGTCCCCGTGGTCCCGGCATTCATACCCTCTCACCACATCAGTGCGTAACGCATGCACACAGTCATACACTCGCTCATTCCTCGTCATCCAGGCTCCGGAGGCGGCATGATTGATTTCGGAGAAGTATTCGACCTCGACCACCTGCGCTCCGTCATCCGCGGCCCCATCCTCGAATGGTCTGACATCAAAGCCAATGCGAAGAACCTCGCCTTGCAGTCCTTCACGACGACCGAACCCCTCGGGTGCTGGGCGTCGCAGAACCGCGACCCGCACATGTCCAAGCCGTGGCAAGACCACCTCAACCTCGACGTGTCCTTCTCCAACATCCCCTGGCAGCTGTTCATCGGCGACCCTGCGTCGAACGTGCATATCGGGTTCTGGCTCGTCGCGGCGTTCATCTTCCCCGAGGGGACGCCGCTGTTTGGGGAGACGCCTGAGGCCGAGGTGGGGTGGCCGTCGCATACGGGGCTGAGGCTGCCGCCGGAGAAGCATATGGCGTGCTTTGACTCGACGTATTATTTGGCGGGCGCGGAGGCGTATGAGTGGGAGAGGGCGTGGTCCCCCGCGTGGCGGTTTGTGGGGACGCATTTGAAGTTTCAGAGGGGGGTTGATGAGTTGGCGGATAGGTATTTGAGGAAGGCGTTTGGGGTGGCGCCGGATGAGGCGGTTCCGCCGGTGCGTGAATTTGCGGCGAGGTGGTGAGGAATTTCTTTGACTGACTGACGATTTTTGTAGTTTATTGCTGTTCATATTCGGCATGGGGAGTTTACCAACTATTGCGAGAAGGATAAGCTGGCGAGTTGTTTTGTCCCGGTGTCGACGTTTGCGGAGGCGGTTGAGGAGGTGAAGAAGGAGCTATGGGCGACGCGACGGATTGAGGTTAAGCATGTTCTTGTCTCTTCTGGTGCGGTTATACGTGATGTTTCTTTCCATTCTCACTGTCTGACGTCTGGGTAGATGAAGAAGATCCGGCGTTTTGGGACGAAGCCCATGCACTGGGCATGAAGCATTTCGACCACGCGGCTGAGCGGACGGTGGAGAAGTTTGGGGAATGGTTCCCGCCTATTATTGATACTGCAGCGCATAGCCATGCGATGGGATTAGTGGGGACACATCAGTCGACGTTGAGTTTGGTCAGTGCGAGGAGAGTGAAGGATTGGAATAATGGGGTGACGAAGGAGGTGCATTTCAAGCGAAGTTGAGCTGGGATTGTACGTTTGTATTTACTATAGATCTAGATAGAGCAATATACTTACTTTGTAGTGCACATATATGCATAGAATTGCTTGAGGACGTCCTTCATGAGATGGACGTGGGAAGTGGTATCGGAACCGATGTCCAACATAATCAGTCCGATTTGAAAGGCCTTGCTACCCGGGCCGTTTTCTTCTTCCGTTTGGCAATGACTACGCGCAATACGTCGAAAGGCGCGAGCAGCCCGCCGCGCGCCTCGAGGATCTTTGCACAGTGCACTGTGCAGAGTGCACACACCTTCGTGATCAAGAGGAATTGTTGACATCACGTTACCTTCTTGGGTTACTGATATGCCTGCGCCCGTCGACCGCGTCGAGCGCTCTCACTCGCCAGCCTTTATCTTCCACCGCCATGTTGACGAGGCATGGCCGTATCTTTCACTTGTGATCCTGGACTGATATCGCGTCTTGTCTCTTTAGGACTATGCGGGCCTCGACATAGCAGGGAGCCATCAGGTGCCTTGCAAATGACTGAGAGTCGAGATGGCCTGTCATCCGGCGTCTGAGAAGCACGTAGGGAGTTGTTGAGCGCTTAAAGAACGCCCATATCGGCCCGTGAGCCTTATGTTATCTTCCATGTTGTCGCATTTGAACGGGCGCCAATCAACATCCAGGGCCTGTTCTTTACACTGTACCATACCACCTGGATGTCCTTTCCAAGTAGGGAGCCGCACCTGTTGCGTACCACGTCGAGCTCGCGTTGGTGTTCACGACAACACGTGTTTATCGTGGTCTGCACGGTCATTCTGTGCTTTGCGTTCTTGCCGCGCGAAAGCCACCTTCCCTTGCAATTTGCGCCTACCCCACCGTGTCCAGCCGAGTATGTCACGGTTACCAGGCCTCCCCCGCCCCAATCTACGTCGACAAATCTGGCTCCCAAGCAGTTTGTAAAAGGCTCTCCAACAACAGGGAAATTCCGAGGTGCGCGCAACTCCCTACGTTCCGAGTAGGAACTGATTTGCTTCCAAGATGCTTTACGACCAGATGTTCATTATGTCACGTCCTTTTGTCTTGGCGGCTTCAGTACGTTGCCGTTTGACGTCTTGAATGTACCGTGATGATGTTGATCCAAGCAAATCAATTCATGTGTTTTGTGAGTTCTCCACTTATAGTCCTTTTCAAGTTGTGCTAAGCCTATCAAGGCAAATCTTGTTTATTTAGGAATGATATCTGATAGAGTCTCCGTCATCCCACCATTTACGCCCAGCCACCATATATGTGAGCACTCTACTTGACTTGGAGACGCGTCATTAACGAATCACCAGCTACATCGGCGGGTACTGTAGCGTTTGGAGAAGTATTCGATCTCGACTCGCTACGAAATACACTAAAGAAACCCTTAATCGAATGGGCAGACATCAAAAACTTCCCGACACATCGCGACGCGCGCTCGTTTGCGGCAGAGGAGTCGCTCGGATGCTGGAATCCACGCGACGGGAACCCGAGCGGTCAATCCTTTTCCGAACATCTACACCTCGACGTATCATACACGCAAGTCCCCGGCGAAATGTTCATCAACCCAGACCACTGGCACGACCACACAAACTTGTGGAACGTGGCCGCGCTCTTGTATCCCAAGCATCCTCTGTTCGAAGACCGAACGTTCCCCGTCGCGCATGCATCGCCGAAAGGAAACTACGCGCCCCCGGATCGTCACCTCGCCTGTCTGGACACGACGTACTATATGGGAAGCGGTGCCGCGCCGTTCGAATGGGAGCGGTCGTGGTCGCCTGTGTGGCGATATGTGGCTACGCATATCAAGTTTACGCAAAAGGTCAACGATCTCGCGGACAAGGCTATCCGCAAGGCGTTCAAAGTACGTCCGTCCGCGGCAATGCCTCCGGTATGTGTCCAATGGTATCTATCGCCCTATGTGCAGTGTGCTGATGTTAGCAGTTCATAGCCGTGCATGTTCGCCATGGAGATTTTGGTCGGACGTGTAGTAGTTCAGATCCAGAGGATTGTTTTGCGGCACTTCCGGCGTTTGCGAGGAGGGTGGAGGAGGTCAAGCAGGAGCTTATGGAGACGAAGGGACTTCGTGTGAATCGGGTACTGATATCTTCTGGTAAGGTTCCTATGGCGCACACTGTCTCGAACTAATTTGTGCGATGTGTAGATGATACGACAGAGTTCTTCTGGCAACAAGTCGAGGCGCTGGGGTGGCGGGATATCGACCATGGGGTGGAGCAGACGGTGGAGAGGCACGGGGAGTGGTATCTCCCCATTATTGATGTGGCGACGCATAGTCGGGCTGTCGGGTTCGTTGGCACGTCAGGGTCTACGTTGAGTCTTGTGAGTGCGCGTAGGGTGGAAAATTGGAGTGGTGGTCCGACTAGATTGGTGAATTGGGGATATAAGGGTGCTGATGATCATTAATGTTAGTGACTTGTGATGTGGGGTTTTGCGATGTATATCAGATCAGACGGCGGGGGCTTTTGTGGACATGCGTGTTGTAGGCATCATTCTCGCTTTAGCATCAACTGGTATTGGCGGATGTGTTAGATGGTGCTGACCCATACCAGCACACGAGAATCGAATTGGATCGCGATGGTAGAGATTTTGTTTGAAAGGGTTCAACTTTTGTTGTAAAGTGAGGGGAACCTGCCCTACATTGTCAACAATCGGAGGCCAATGTGTAGTACTTAGGATGCATGTACTATTCAGTAATTTTTTTCTTTGAGACAACTTAATCAAAGGTGTCCAAAACAAGCTCAAGGTTGTGCACCTTTCGATTAGCATGCATTAATGGGGTAGTGGTAACCTGGGTCGTTGCCATCTGCATGTACAGTCGACCCGCCGGGGGTTCAATTCCCCCTTAATGCATAGAAATGACAGTTGTACTACATTTTTATTTTACTCGAAGAATGAGCTTAGGGTGGCGCAGTATTAAACAAACCTCCGCTGCCCGGTGGTATCGATACCAACACAGGAAGCCCATCTTTTGAAAAAGGCGCAATCAAGGCCGGCCCGTGACTTCCGATCGAAAATCAACTCTCACGTTCACTTCGTACTAGAGTTTATTTTTCTCGTTTCATGACCGAATTGTAGATCGTTACACTCCTTCGAAGTCGATGACATGAACTGCTTTGGTGCTGTCACTGTTGGCCCGGTCGTTTGGAGCATTGCTGGAGCGGATATCGCGTCGGCCGCAGGACAGAACAAAAGGTTCGCTCACACCTACTGCGTTGCAGACCATTCCTCGCACACCGTCAGTACTGATGGTTCCTAAGGCTGCGCAGGGCGCATTGTTCTACGGGATAAGGAGGTTTAGCAAATAAAACTTGAAACTGGCGCCAAGGATCGTGATGCGTTCCTCGTAGAACTGATACCAACGGGCTTTTGATCGCCAATTTGTCGATTTCGCGCATGGCGGGCGAAGTTGTCAAACACCATAATGGATTGTGTATTGTACACGCCTCGGCTGATGAGATTTTGCCCACACTCGGATGCAGTCAATCTCGCGCTATTATGATGTCTGTCGAGGCTGGAAGAGAGGCGCTAGCGAAAACAGGACCTTGGAGTGTTTCTTTGGCCTTGCGTTCGCCCATTTGCAATGCTATGCCACTGTCTGACCTGTTTCTCTCGAGCGTATGATTGGAGGTTGGCCGCAGCGTAGGTCATGTTTCACAATCCTCTCAGAATTGGGCGATCAAATGGGCAACTACTCGACATATTGATTCATCATTCTCTAGAGCCATGCTCCATTTCGCTTTGTCTTTTATTTTGTTTCTAGTCTTCGTCTTTGCGACTTTGAAGCGCGATGATATTCAAGGTGGGCGATGCTCAATGTCTGAGTCTTACAGTACACTTGTTGCTGTGTTTCGACGCTCACTCATAGGAATGCGCAGTGTTTCGAAATCACTCTCGAGCTATAAAATGGCCAATAAACCACAGACACATCATTCTAACCTGCGATGCTCTCTTTCACCATTCTTCTTCTACTATTTTCAAGCATCGTTTCTGCATTGCCTTCAACTCCTTTGAAGCGCGATGACAGTTCACTTCTCACGTCGGACATCGACGAATTCATTCAATCTGTTCTCACTGACTGGGGCACGCCTGGTGGTGTCTCCGTTGCGGCTGTCCTCATGAACGAGGACGGCAGCTGGACCGTCGACACCAAGGGCTACGGTAACGCGACGGCAGATGGTACACTCATCGATTCCGACACCATGCTCTGCATCGGCTCTAATTCAAAGGTACTCGTCCATCAATCTGTTTTCTGGACGCCTCAGACTGACATAAGAGTATCATCTCAGCAATACAATGCCATTTCTACCGGACTTTTACTTTCAAACAAATCGCTTGAGCCCCGTCTCACGACTACGACAAAAATGTCGTCTATATTTCCCGGCTCGTGGGCGCTCATGAATGACTTTGCTACTGCAGAGAGCACCATGATAGATCTCTTCAGTCACCGCACCGGCGTTCCGCGCCACGATAACATGTACTCTCTCGATGACACCGTCGACGACCTGGTTCGTCGTCTCCCTCCCTGCCCTCTGCCTATTGTATTAACTCGTAATTTGCAGTTAAACAGAGTCAAGTATCTGAAGCCATCTCTCCCGTTCCGCGACCAATACCAGTACAGCAACATCATGTACGCGATCATGTCACATCTCCCAACCGCCCTCCTTCCTTCGAAAATCCCTTTTACGCGATATGTCAAGCAGCATATTTTTGATCCTCTTGGACTGAGTGCGACCTACTCGCCCATGGTGGCTGCACAGGGACATGTACTAGCACAAGGCTTTGGTAGGGACGGCGCCAATCGGACTGAAAACGTATTTGCTATGGGTACTCCGAGGGCTCTGGAATACTGGTCCAAGAACGTGACGGAAGATGGCAATGGTACGCCCCGCATACAATCAGATCACCAAATTCTAATCCTCTGGTCAGCGATGTCCGGTGCGGGTGGCATCATCATGCACGCGAATGATGTCGCCGTCTGGCTTCAGACATTACTTTTACAAGGAGCCAATCCGAAGACGGGGGAACAAGTTATTCCGGCTGAAGTCTTGAAATCAACATCGACAGGTGTCTCTGTGGTCCCCGAAACACCCCCCGGGACAGAGTATGTCCTTGGCTCATATTAAAATTACGCCATGCTCAAGCGCATTTGTAGCACTCCTCTATTATACGGGGCCGGTCAAGAAATAGGCACCTACGGAGGCTATCGTACGTGCTTGTTTCTCTCTCAAACTACTTGTCTAACGGAGCGCTAGTCACTGTTGGACACGAAGGAGACGTGGCTGGCTTCCACTCGGCTATGATACGCGTCCCTTCCGCCAAACTCGCTGTCGCAGTCCTCACCAACGACGACACCTATGGCCCATCCTTCATACAAGTCATCAAGTACCGCATTTTGGATACCCTCCTCGGATTGAATCCCACTGACTGGAACAGCGTGTAAGTCGGTTCTTCCACTTTCCTTCACCAGTGCCTGATTGTCCTCGGATCGTCTTAGATACCAACAGACGGTTAAAGCAAAATACGCTGCGTCGCTTGCCGTCACACCTCCGCCTAGCAGCCCCTCCCCTCCTAGCGTAGCATACACGGAATTGGCTGGAACATACAGCAATGGTGCCTATGGCGAACTCGAGCTTTGCTACCTCTCCGATTCCTCCTCATGCCAAGACCTTCTCGCTGGTATTCCCAACGTTGATGACGAACGCCCGACGCTCGTCGCTCAATGGAACAAGCTTTGGGCCTCCCACGTCTTTATGCGCCACTTCGACGGGGACATCTGGATTCTCACTTTGTTGGACAAGGTGATAAGCCTTCCCGAACGTGCAATGTAGGTTTCTGGTGTTGATCCCTTGAGTGTGCTCGAAGACAGTCGTCGACATAAGCAGCGAGTTGATAGTATTTTATTATCTCAAACCGATTTAGAAATCTAGATAAGGGTCAAAAAAGTGTTGAAGGCCTTGTATCCAGAGAACCAGAACCATGTACATTCGAGAGTCAAGGTATGACCCGTCAAAGTATGAACAACATGCGAGAAGACAAACAGAAGGAAGGATAAAAATACAGAAACACAGTACGGGAAATTCAGAATTCTACATGATGCAACAAGACGATGACTTGATCTCAGAGCAGCCTAATAGTAATGGGATATCAGGTAAGGCCACATTTCACCACCAAAAAACACGCACTGTAATCTAGATGCATGTGGTAAACCGCATCATAGAAGTCTCCAAACAATGAGTCAATCTCGAGTGGTAATAGCACTGAGGCCTGTCCTGCGCCTGGTGTGACATAAACATAGGTCACCTTCGTGATTCCACGCTCCTCAAACCAAGCCTTCCCGGCAGGCGAAACACCATGTTTGCTCGATATGCTCGCCTGGAATGTGATAGCATGATTTGCCTTGTCAATGTAGAATGAGTCGAACGTAGCAAAGTTTTTCTGAGTCGAATGGTAGTATGTGCCCGCGTCGAAGGGCTCCTGAACGGGCCAGCGCTCGAAGGAGCACTCCGGTACCGACGACACCCGGAAGCTCAATGGATTGTGATTCAGTATTCTGATGTCCTTTTTAGCAACAAGAAAGGTCGATGCTTCTTCCTCCACAGTTTTCCAGCTTCGACGAGTCTGCTTTGGCGTTGTAGCCCTTTGCTCGTCCGCAACCATCCGTCGAAGAGCCCAAGACCCACCACGTGTGATATCCTTATGGTATCGGCCGTTGAACAGCCCAGCAGCCACGAGCCTAGGACCAGGACTTGTAGAGCCCAAGTTGAACAGGAACCACTCCCTCTGCGCGCGGTCATAATTGTTGTCGATTCGACTAAGAAGTCTTTTGTGAAGATGTGCGCTGGGCGAAGTAACTTGCCACATTGTTCGGTCTCGATCGTGAAGAGGTAAGAAGGTAAGAAGAAGATGACTAGTTGATTCGGGGATAAACAAAGAGGGTTCTTCATTCAAAGTGCTGCTGATGGAGTCGGGTCGTAAACGGCTTAGTGCATTTTGAAGCGCCGTCTCAAAATGGGGCATGCTTTGCGAAAATGAGTAGTTGTCGCGCGCGGAGCCTCCATAGAGGTTATAGAAATTGGCGATGGCTATTTCGTCACTAACACGGATCTGAAATTGATTTCTGCCAAAACTCAGTCAACATCAATACCTATATCAGCAGTCCAATGGAACTCACCCTGCAATAAGTTCACCACATTCCCAAGGCTTCATGACGAAGTATCGAGTGTCTCCTACTTTCTTTGTCCAATCCATCCTGGGTGCTCTTGGAGATGCAGCCTGTATGATGAAAAGGTCGTCGTCAATCAGTGCTTCGGGAATTGACGTGAAGCTTGCGGTTGAATCAACTAGACACCATGTGTCGTCAGGGAGGTACTGCTGTATTTCGGACCTGTCGAGCCGATCTATTTCGATAAGGTAGCCTTTGCCGTCCCTCCACAATACCGCGGGCGTTCTAGCAACATATAGCGTCGGAAGTTTCGCCGCACACCTGAGGTGAAAGATTACCCATAAGAAGTAGGACTTTCCTGTTACTGAGCGCTCAGCCTAAATCCATGAACATAATGAGGACCGACTCCGACTCGCCTATTCCGGGAAGGCCTGTGAGAACCAGGCCGCCGTTGGTCGTGACACCGTCTTGCCCAAGGAAGGGATTCTGATAAGTAGCCATTTCAGACAAAGGCGGGTTATGAATCACGCCCAGATCGCCCGGTGCAGGCTCGTCGTCCGGGAGAAGAGGGGAATCGACATTCATGGCTGCCCCCGCGACGGTACTGATGGGACCGTTAATTCTTCAACGACAATTCAAAAACCGGAAATGGACTCGCCTGTTCCTGCATCTGCGTGTTTCCATTCGG